ACAAATTTAGGTAACACTTTATTTTGATGGTCCATTTGAGTATTAGTAGACTGTCTGCTTAAAGTCTCTGCATACTGCTCCTTCAAAAGACATTTCACTGACTATAACTATAAGTCAACTTACACTAACCCCAACCCTAACCTAACAGCCTACTTAGAATCTACTGATAAATAGTTGGCATTTAGATGCAATGTAACTTAAATTCAACAAACAAACCATCAAAATAAAGTGTGACCAAAATGTCATTTTTTTTTTACCATACATGATTCTTCATAGCGAGGAACGCAAGTATCTTTTTGTATTCATTTCCCTACAGAAATGGCTGTCCATGCCTAAAGATCTGGAGAATGGTTTCAAACCCAATTTTACAGAGCGCGCCTGCCCTGTTCGTGAGTACAAGATCTTTTCCCAGTCCAGCAGTGATAGTGAGAGCATCCTCTCCAACCCAACAGACGTATCATCTGATTACCAAAGCATGCACAGATATTCATCAGCCTCAACAATACCCGGATCTGCTGAACCCCTGCAAACCCAAAATCCTTCTCAAGTAGACAATCCTGTCTAATCCAGTCAGTTTTCAACAATGGGAAATGGGAAAGTTGTCATGCATTTTAGCCATTCATTTACACGAGAATGGCATTTTGGGGGCAGATTGATGAGGAAAAACGACTTCACCCCCGTAATGCCGTACAGATTAGGGCTGCACAGTATTGGAAAAATCTAACATTACGAGATGTATGTATGTGTGTATATATATATATATATATATATATATATATATATATATATATATATAGCGATATGAATACAATTTTACCAGATAACTTGAATATCTCTATTTGGGAAGAATTGATAATGTTAGATCGATTGGGATGAAGCTTAACAGTGTTCAATTACAGTAACTGAATGATAAAAATAAAAGTAATTCAGTAAATTTAATCGTTGTTAAAGTCACAAATGCTACAATTTGTTGTGCCTGAATGCTTTTAGGGTCATTATACAATCACAGGCATCAAAAACACATGCAAATGATGAATTATAATACAAACTCAACATTGCGTATGCCTCTGATGTGACTATTGCGAATGATTACACTGCGATATCGATGCTCAAAAGATATATAGTGCAGGCCTAGTACAGATTATTCCACCAATTAGAGAATCGCAAATGTAAAGTATACCAAAACACATATTTAGCCCCACCCAGTCCTATGATGCACTGTCAATGATAGGAATACATGGAGAGTGTTGGCATTTTCGCCGTAAACGGGCAAAGTTTTTACAGAATTATTTTCTCCAACATTTTTCAAAAACTGAAGGAAAATGTTTTAGTACATTGTTGTTGTGTATTAATTAAAATTGTAGGTTTACTAATAATTTAAGAGAAAATCAGTTTAAAAAATCACAACAATGATTTCAGAATAAGTGAAAAAGAGGCTCTGTGCATGTTATGTAATGTTGAAGTCCTTTTCAAATCTCATCTCGCACATCAAATCTCAAAAGCTAAATGTTAGGCCTTAAAAAGTCTTAAATGTACAATAATGTTTTGTTGTAGATCTTAAATGTTTTTTTAACAGGTCTTAATTTTCATTTGTTTATGTAAAGCTACCCAATTTGGCCATTAACACCCATGCAATCACCATCTTGATAAAACTTTAGATTTTTAAAAATTAAAAATAGCATCTAATTACTTTCCTCACAGTAACATTTGCTTAAAAGTTCTCCATTTATTTACTGCTGAGGATACTGACCTGACCTAAATTTTGTATTATTAAATTCTTATTATTGTAGACTGAAGTGATTGACAGCTATTTTTTGTTATATTCTTGGTCAGGGTTATAAGGTTTGGGAATGGATATAGTTGATAACGAATAAAAACTATTCCAACAAAATTATTAATATTGTTTTGTTAAATTTATTAGATTTTAATCATGTTTTAATAGGGCAAGTGAAAATATTTTCAAACTGGGATATTTGACAAAAATCCTTAGCATTTAGCTGTGTACAAGTCTAAAATTTCATTCATAATGGTCTTAAAATGTCTTAAAAAGACTTACATTTAACTTGCTGAAACCCTGAAAATAGCTCAGTTCAGGTGGATATGCACATGGTAATATAGTGTCTGCTATTTTAATGAATTTAAGAAGCTGCATTGTAGTCAAGTTCATCCAAGCACTTTTAACAATATTGTCTTTTTGCTTGTTTGCTCCTGTTGAGTTTTCTATATTTGTGTATGGAATTATTTTTCTGTTTTTTTATAGGATTGTAGGTAAAATTTATTTACTAAAGGTTTTTTAGGCACTGAGTTTGTTATATACACTCACCGGCCATTTTATTAGGTACACCTGTCCAACTGCTCGTTAATGCAAATTTCTCAAAAATCAGCCAATCACATGGCAGCAACTCTGCATATAGGCATGTAGACATGGTCAAGACGATCTGCTGCAGTTGAAACCGAGCTTCAGAATGGGGAAGAAAGGTTATTTAAGTGACTTTGAGCATGGCATGCTTTTTTGTGCTAGACGGGCTGGTCTGAGTATTTTAGAAACTGCTGATCTAGTAGGATTTTCATGCACAACCATCTCTAGGGATTACAGAGAATGGTTTGACAAATAGAAAATATCTAGTGAGCGGCAGTTCTGTTGGTAAAAATGCCTTGTTGATGCCAGAGGTTAGAGGAGAATGGCTAGGCTTATAGAAAGAGAACAGTAACTTAAATAACTACTCGTTACACCCGAGGTATGCAGAAGAGCATCTCTGAACGCACAACATGTCCAACCTTGTTGCGGATACAGCAGCAGAAAAATCACGCTGAGTGCCACTCCTGTCAGCTAAGAACAGGAAACTGAGGCTACAATTCACACAGGCTCACCAAAATTGGACAATGGAAGATTGGAAAATTGTTGCCTAGTCTGATGAGTCTTGATTTCTGCTGCGACATTCAGATGGTAGGGTCAGAATTTGGCATTAACAACATTATTTGGTATCAACGGTTATGGCTGCTGGTAGTGGTGTAATGGTGTGGGGGATATTATCTTGGCACACTTTGGGCCCATTAGTACCAATTGAGCATCGTGTCATCTCAACAGTATTGTTGCTGACCATCTCCATCCCTTAATGAGCACACTGTACCCATGTTCTCATGGCTACATCCAGCAGGATATTGCGCCATGTCATAAAACGTTAATTATCTCAGACTGGTTTCCTGAATATGACAATAAGTTCACTGTATTCAAACGGCCTCCACAGTCACCAGCTCTCAATCCAATAGAGCAGTTTTAGCAACTGCCTGATGCTATCATGTCAATATGGACCAAATTCTCTGAGGAATATTTCCAGTACCTTACTGAATCTGTACCATGAAGGATTAGGGCAAAAGGTAGTACAATCCCGAATTAGTGAGGTGTACCTAATAAAGTGGCCGTGGTATGATTTCTGTTTGTGATTCATGCTGCTGCTTTTTTGCAACATAGTTTGACACACATATATATATATATATATATATATATATATATATATATATATATATATATATATATATATATATATATATAGTCAACATTTGAAGTGGATTAAAACCTTTCAATAAACATTTTCATTCCTCTCATGTTTTACTGTAATGCTCAGTTCAGAATGCATGATTTTTATAGTCACATCACAGATGTTTTCACATTGCATGACTATCTAGGGTAGCGTTCCATCACTGATGTGTTTACACTGCAAGATGGATCGGCGACAGGGGGTTTCACACTGCATGACTTTACAATAGGAAGAACAGCCAACAACTTTGTCTCAGTGAGCAAACTACATCTCACAACCAAACACACGTGAGAAGTGACATTAAAAACGCAAGGTGGGGTAGTATATCTATGTTATTTTCTACATAACGAGAAAGAAGCATTTGGTGGGGTAGAAAACGTGCTTATTTTGCTCAGCTGGGTTTTAAAGGGATTCAATTCTTCTTTTTTTGACCGGGTTGTAATACTGCTCAGATGACGCATTAAACAGGCACAGGTGCTCCACTACTTTTTCCTCCATTTCTTGAGACCAAATAGGCCCTTTTAACATCTCCCACAACCTCCTGCTGGCCTGCAGATACCCAATACTAGTGGATGCTGATCTCTCATTGGCTGTAGTTGATCGCTGATGTTATTTTCAATCAGAGCACATTTCACACTGCATGATTTTGAATCGCCGACAGCTCCAGATATTTAGCATTCCGAATATCTCATGGGTGTCGGCGACTCATTGACGATTCTCTCAGATTGCGTCTTGGATAGCTCACACTGTGTGATTGTTACTCTCATGAACAAGGGCTGATTTGCCTGTGATTTCAGGCATTTGTCTGTGATTTCTTAAAACCTGTCAGCGAGTCAAAATCAGGGTTAAAATCATGCAGTCTGAACACGGCATAAGAGTATATGTTTGTTTTTTCTTTATATCATTGTATGATGTTTAAAGAATGTAATGCTTTTGTAAACATTAAATAAAAACATTCATAAAAAGCTAGTCCATAATTCATATGCACATTTTGAATTTTATTTCATTTTTCAGAGTCCACTCTAATGTTCGATCTCATCTTAAAGTGTCACTTGCAGGAGAACATTGAATAAAATCACATTTTCCAATTTACGGAGAAAAAAAAAAACATTCTGGGTCAAAACATTTTAAACGTGTACATACTTAAAACAACCCAAAATCCTCAAAATGAATAAATAACATGCCTGTTAAACATATATAAGAGCTGAAATGGTCTGGTGTTGTGCATGTCTATTGACCTTATTCTAAAATGCGGAAGTGCGCCTGTTTTCGCGATTGTCTTAGAACTTCCGATTCAGTCGCCTATGGGAGAAATGACTAGGAATAATAAACGGCAGAAAACGGTCAAACTACTTGCTCTACAAACAAATGTTTGCATGACTATACAGACCAAGTAGAATAATATAACAAGGAAATATCAGTTTGCAACATCAAACAGCGTAACGAGCAGTTTTTAATGTCTAAAAATGAATGGAAGTGAATGAGACCGGAAGTCTCGTGCCAAAAAGATTCAAATGGCAGCGCCCGCTCGTCTGCGGAGAATAAGGTCAATAGTACGTTTCTGATTTTGGCACACGAATCTCATACCTGATGTGTTAGTTTAAAGCACTACGTACAAATCAAAGCCACATTTATCCAAGCTGGTCTTCATATTGCTTTCTGAAGCAGTCTCCGGCAGGGAAGAAATCCCAGCATCTCTCCTGGTACATCTTCCACACGTATGATTCCTGTCAAACACACATGTCTTCAATGTTTCAATCCATTTTCATTCATTTTCCTTCAGCTTAGCCCCATATTAATCAGGGATCACCACAGTGGAATGAACCGCCAACTATTTCAGCATATGTTGTACAGAGCAGATGCCCTTCTAGCTGCATTCCAGTACTAGGAAACACACATACACACTCATTCACACATACACTATGGTCAATTTAGTTAATCCAATTCACCTATAGTGCATGTCTTTGGACTGTAAGGCAAACCGGAGCACCCGGAGGAAGCCTATGTACCACAGGAACAACTCCACACAGAAATGGCCCAGATGGGACTTGAAGCAGCGACCTTCTTGCTGTGACGCGACAGTGCTAACCACTGAGTCACTGTGCCACCTATTAAATCCATTTTCACTATAGTAATTATGATAAGGTGATGAACATATTTACCTGGCCAGTGTGCTCTGTTTCATCCTTGTTGATTAAGTACATCAGGAAAAACCTGGTGAAGAGAGAAACATCACTTCTGTTTTCCTGAATATGCAAAGATTATGTTACATCAGAAAAATGCTCACATGTAATTGGCCAGGTTGTGTTCCTCAAGTGTATGGGTCTCAAAGCCATGGGGCGTTGTATCAAAGTAGTCGCTCCCAATGCCACATATAAAGCATTTGGTCTGCAGAATCCATGCAAAGTGCAAAATGTCAGCAAATATATTAAGAGTTATGAATATGATTCATCTATACCTCACAGTAAAGATCTTAATACCTCCATGTCCTCTTTCACTTGCTCCTGCTGGTCTCTCAGTTCACCAAAGGCATCAATGATCAGACCTATGCAGAAGAACAAGCACTGAATTTAAAGGGACAGTTCAACCAAAAATGAAAATTCTGTCATCATTTCCTCATCCGTCACTTTTTACAAATCTGTTTGAGTTTCTTTCCTCTGTTCAACACAAAAGAAGATATTCTGAAAAATGCTGGAAACCATTGATTTATATAGTGTTAGTTTTTCCTACTATGGAGGTCAATGGTTACTGGTTTCTAATATTATTCAAATTATCTTCTTTTGTGTTCAACAGAAAAAAATAACTTATAAAAGTTTGGAAGCACTTGAGGAGTTTGGAAATTACATTTTATTTTCAAGTTAATTTCATTTTTTAATATTAATTTAATATAAATATGCATAGTGAAAGTGCCATTGTAGTGTGAAAAATACACAAATTAATAGATTGCGTTCAGTTGTCCACTGTATTTGTATAAACATTGAATACCAAGATTTAGATTTAACTGCTTTCAAGTATGAAGAGTTAATAAATATTGGTATTGGCAAAGATTTTCATATCTATATCATATCTGCCCCTTATAATAAATATCAAATCAAGCCTAAACAAGTGTTTAGTGTAACAGAAAAAGTCTTATAAATCCCTCATTCAGCACAAATCATACCTGTCAACTCTCCCGTTTCTCCCATATTTTATAATTCTATCCAGCTATCATCCCGTAAAGGTATTTTCCAGTGTTTTCAATCTGTTTATGAAGGGTGGCAATAAACATCAAGGAGCCGATCCTCCCTGTATGCCATACCACCAAACCACCAAGGGACACCCCTTGCTCTTAAATGTGAATCTCTTCTGTGCTTTTATTTTATTTAGGCATGAAAACACTTTAAAATAAATATAAAAATGGTGGGATTCCCTTCCTTTCCATTATAGGTGCCGTTGCCTGTCCTATGCCATCCTCAAAACAGTCAGTTTATGTAGCGGTGCGTGACTGTCAGGCACACTCCATTGTGATAAATAAATGCTGCTTCCCAAACAGATTCTGGGTTTTGGGTGCGTGTTTGAACACATATACATAATAATTATAATAATAATAACAACATCTATACATGTCGATCTTGGTGGGTTTTCTTTTAAACACAACACACAACACATTTTGTCTTAAATGAGCATAAAAAGTTAGGAAAGCAATCAAATGTTTTCATTATAGATGTGTCATTTTTAAAGTGACACCTCTTATTTAATGTAATCAAACGAAAAATCTAAATAACATTCTTTCGCTAAAACAAAAATGAGTTTTTTTAGAACACCATTGATGCTCTCAAAATATGCAAACCGTCCACAGTCAGAGGAATGCTGAAGGGGTTGCGGGAGTTTGGGTAATCATGCACATATATTTTGGGAATGTCCGAAAATCTTTGCATTTTGGCAAGTGGTAAAGATTGAGATAACGAAAATTATGCAGTTAGAACGACTTTTTACTCTCCCGTTTTTCTTGCTTGAAGGGATACCCCAGGGTATATATAATAAAAACCAGAGATATATACTACATATACTTTTACTAAGTGCAAGAAAGACTATAACAATAAATTGGATGAAGCCAAACCCTCCAACAATAATACAGTGAATAGAAAAACTTGAATCTATATATATATAATGGAGTATATGACTGCTCAACTTCAAGTAAAACTGGATATTTTTAAACAAAGATGGGCACCTGTTACTTTGTATCAGAACAGCACATAATATTTCCAGCTCCTTTAAAAAAATGAAAATATTTTTTTTTGTAATTTGTATTTATTTACATTCAGGGTTACTTTTTTTCTGTTTTTTTTTTTTTTTAATAATCACTGCTGTCACTGAATGTTCTGTTCTGTAAAATGTTTTAATGTATAAAAATAAAGTAAAAAAAAAAAAAAAAAAAAATATATATATATATATATATATATATATATTCGCTACTCTTTAATCAAAATGTTTAAGTTATCTTAGTATATATATATATATATATATATATATATATATATATAGTTATACAAGTATATAAATATATGTTATTTTTTACTTTATAAATAATAATATTATTAAATAAAAATAATAAAAATAAAATGTATTACTGACCATTTCAACTTATTTATTTACAATGAAACAGCTCCAGATGAACATGGTTAGTAATTTGGGGAATTTTTTTTTTTTTTTGTGCCATACCTGTCAACATTACCATACCCAATGTTGACATATATGGCACAAATCGTCAGTGTTTTGCACTACATGACAGAATAAATCGTAGCATATTTTAGCTGTGAATGAAAAGATATTCTAAAAAATACATATATTTATATTTTTAAAATCGCATTGCCATCCAGAAGGTAAGTTTTAATGTCATAGATCACACAGGACTGCGATTCTGAAGGGTGGAATAAAGATCAGTCTTACCCTGAATGATGGCCAGCAGGATGACGATGACAAAGAAGAAGAAGGTGATGTCGAAGACCACCCGATAGAGCTCATACTCATCTCCAGCAGGGTCCTCGATCTCATCTCCTATACCTCCACCTGCCCGTACACCCACATACATGTGGAACAAATAACACTGCAAAAAGAAAGACAGAGAGATGGTTGGTTTATACAGCAGGTGTTTGATCAGGGGGAAAAAAGCAGGAGAAAATAATGTGGACGCTTGTTTTTTAATCACATAATTAAAAAAGCATAAATAAATAAATATAAATACAAGATATTAATGTAATCACAACTTTTTATCTCACAATTTAGAGTTAATCTTACAAATCAAAATGTTCGTCCTGCGATTCTGCAAATGTCAGACCTTTAAGATAGAAATTCAGAACTGTGGAATATAAACTACAGATAACTCGATGACAACAATTAGATAAGCTGTTTAAATTTCAATCCTCCGTGACAGAAACAAAATTAAAAACAAGATTTTATTCAGAATTGTGAGGAAAACCTGACTGAAATTGGGGCTGCAAGGTACTGGGAAAACATTAAATGTAATATTGTTTTGATTATTGCATTAACGTTAATTCCTGTGATGTAACATTTCCTAACAGAAATGCAATTTTTATTAGCTATTTTGTTTTTTAAATGTACTGAGACAGTTTTGAGTAATAGGCATATCAGCTTCCCTAGCTATTTCATGGCAAAAACAGATCAAATGTGCAAATATTTCATAAATAACACTTTTCTATATTTAAAAAAGTTTATAACAATAAAAAGAAATCAACGACAATAATATATCAAATAAGATAAAAACTTGTAAGCTTGTATACTCTTTTAAAGGATTCACATGTAAAAATAATCCCTTTAAAGATTAGGGGAGCGCTGTCTGATAACATTTCAAATAGGGCATTGCAAAAGTATATGTTTATTTACGTAATAATCACATTAAAGTAAAAAGGAGATAGATATATTTTCATGTCATGATAAAAAAGCTTTGTTAAGATGCATTTAGATCTATTCCCACCATTAATATGTACTCTCTGCTCTGAGATTCTAGGTTCGTCCTCAGGCCTGGTCAAGCTAACAGCATAATGAATTTGATTGGTCAAAAATCAACAACCTATGCATGCAGCACACAAATGCTTGGCACTTAAAATCAGGGTTTCTGCAGCTTTCATCAAGTCAGATTTAAGACCTTTAAAGACATTTTTAAGACCATTAGTAAATTACATTTTTCCATTAATGAATTTCACACATATATAGAGCTAAATGCTAAGAATTTTTGAATTTTATTTTACTTGCCCTATCAAAAAAAATGCATATTTTGTTATTTTTATATATTTTAAATGTGACAAAACAAGCAAACTCTAATTGTATACATGCATTTTTTTCAACATAACTTTTCTCTTTAAAATAATTGACAAGTTTTAATAACTATAATAAAATAAATGAATTCACAACAGTCTGTCCAGGTCAGTCACCAGGCAGCTATAAATACTTTTAACAAATGTTATTGTAAGAAAGATAATTAAACTTTTATTAAAGTGTTTATTGAGATGGAGTGTTGGTGATTGGTTGTGTGTTTGCCCAGTTGGAGCTTTACATGGACAAAAGAAAATTAAAACTGGTTTAAAATGATTAAAGACCCATAACACAATATTTCAGTGAAGTTTAAGTCTTTTTAAAGCCTAAAATATATATATATTTTTAATTTAAGACATGTTAAGACTTTTTAAGACCCTGCATACACCCTGTAAAATACATTTCATGTTATTGCAACTCACTGTGATATGAATATTGCTCATACTATTGCATACACTGCATATAACATATTGTGCATCCCATTTTTTCTTTCTGATGGAAACCAGTTTTCACAAACCGACTCAATGAGACATTGTTAGAAAATAAGACTAATTTAATACTAATGTTGAGTGACCAACCGTCATCATGTCGTCACACTTCATGTCCGGCTCATCCTCATCCTCGCTCTTATTGTAGAACTTCCTGAAGAAGTTGAAGGCCACCACAGTGTAGAGGTACACAACCACAGCCAGCAAACCCACAGTCATCATCAGCTGAAACAATCCAACAGTCAACCCATTTGCACAACCAGTTTGAGTTTAGCTGCTGTGTATCTGACTGTACCTGTTTTCCATTGTGTGTGACGGAGGAAAGAATTGTACGCAGTGTCTTGACACCCATTGCGATGTCCAGCAGGTGACAAGCAAAGAAAAAGTTGTTGTAATGTCCAAGAAGGGACATCACTGTGTACCACACCAGGTAGAGGAAAGTCTGCAAATAAAGAAGATGAATTTTATTTTTTGGGGGGTTTGTTCACACTTTTTAATGTTGTTTTCCACTGTGCTGTATGGTTCAGCATGGCTCAGTTTTGGCCAGGTTAGTTTGCATTTTTACTTCAGTTTAATACCACTTAAAGTGGGGGGTACTATGCCTATTTGATAGTTTTCACATGTTGTCACACCATTAGGGGAACACCCCTCTGGCGGGCAAAACATTACATCTCCTGCTGACTGCCAAGTCAAGGGCTGATAAATAAAAAAGCTGGAAAATTGTTGTGCAATTAGGTTTAGTGTTACTAACTAATAAGGAGACACATTTGAGCTGCGCTTCTGCAAAATTTCTCTCCTTGAGAGGAGAAAGGAGAAATTTATGGATTCGTGCCAAATGGTAGCATCATTGACCCATAACAATTCATGGCAGCTATGACTTTCAGTGCGTTTGTATGCTTTTTATACAGTTTCTAATTTGCAGGTCAAGAGCAATTATTGTATTGATTGAAATGCAAAGTCGAAGTAAAAGTCAAAGTAGAAGTGAACGAAAAGGTTTTTCCTACCAGCAAATATTATTCCAATTAAAAGAAACCGACACCGAACATAAAAGCAGACACAAATTATTAAATCGCTGAGGAATATCCAAAAGATAAGATTAAATGTAAGAATTGGAGCTCTGACAAGGACATGACAATTCAAAATTACTTAAAAATAGTTGCGGATGCAAAATATGGATTGCAAGTGCCCACAAAGTTTGTGATCATATCTCAGTTCTGTTCTGTTGATCCAAATATTCATAGCTTGAAACAATAATGCAACACAAACAGTTAATTTTTCATCTGTGGAGATCCCAGTGTAGCTGCCTTCACGGCCCATTTTTTATTTTATTTTTTTGCCCACAAGGTCTCCGCACAAGTCACAAGAGTTGTGCCACCTTTTACTGTAATGACATCATCATCAAGATAAAATAAACAAACATGCAAAACCATGCGTTCTGTCTCATGTGTTAGTGACGATTCTCTCCGATCAGTTTACTTAGAACCTCACACAAGGTGAAATTAATAAATTAGCAGGATTTAGCAGAAAAGCCCCCAAAAGTGAGCCATAATGAACCAAAAGGTGCTGTACCATGCAGCGGAAAAGCAGCTTAGTTTAGCATCTCTTGGTTTGGGAAATAATTCTTTGAATCCTGGTTTGCACTCATATTAAAATAAACACAATAGCAGAGCTAAAAATAAAATGATGTAATTTCACTACAAAAATATATGATTTACTAACTTACATTGTCTGTGAACACAACTCCAAATTTCCAGATCTGATACTTGATGTCAATGGAAGTGAACCTAAAAAAACAAATGAAGATACAGAATCTAAACCAAGAAGCATTCATTTTGCTATAGCTTGTACAATTAGTGGAACAAAAATGACACCGGTCACATTTAAAATGTTATAGTTTGATAATAAATTGATTATAAATAATTTCAATACCATGCAAGCATAGAGTTGTCTGGCTCTTCTGGTTTCTTGTCTGTCTGTTGTTTGCTGACATCCAGAGATGCCAGATCCATACCCAGCAGCTCTGCGATTCTCTCTCGTCCATAAATATCTCCATATTTATCCAGAACCTTGCCAAAAGAAAGAAATAAAAAAGACTTTTAGTAAGCATTTACTATCAATCTAACACTCCACCAATCAATAAAAAGAATATTCTCATACCTTTCGCTTCACAAATTTGTCCCAGTAATTGGTGGGAAAAGAGCTAAACAATCATAAAAAACAATAATTAGGTCTGCTAATGAAAACTTATTCAGTCCAAATTTACAGAACATTCACCTGGCCTCCAAACTAAAGTCTAAATGTTCATATCCAGATTCATCAAAATTTCTCCACACTTACGGAGTGTTTAACACCAGTCTGTCCCACTGGCCTTTAATGTCATCATCTGCCGGCTGTTCAGTGATGTAAAGACCATCAAACTCCAGTTTTCTCGCCAACTCTTTCTCTCTCTTAAAGATGACCAGTGGAATCTAACAAATCAATACATCATGATCACTTATTAATAGCACAGATACACTCTTGTATATATTCAACAGACTGAAATTAAAGATGAGAGCAGCATTGAAAGGGCATTTACACCCAGCCTCAGGTCAACAGCAAATGGGGAGCAATGTGCATTTAAGAGCTAAGTATATAGGAGGAATTTTTTTATTTATTTATCAGGATCCCCATTAGCCACTACCAAGGTAGTGGCTATTCTTCCTGGGGTCCATCGAACATAACACAAAATTACATTAATACACAACAACAAAGACTAATAAAAACATTAAAATACAAAATTCATACATAACATCCAAATCAACAATCCACTTAATATTGTTCCATAAAATATTTTTTAAATGATTTTTTAAACCTCCTTTTACTTGTTACAAAGCATGTAATGTCTGACGGCAATTCATTCCATATTTTCATTCCTCTATACATCACAGTACGTTGCTTTGCATTAGTTTTTGAAATGGGAAGCAAAAAATTTCCTTTTAATGCATGCCTGGTGTTAAAATGGTGACTAACATTACTATACAAAAGTTGACTGTACAATACACTTGGAACTTTTAACACAGAAATATTTCTTATAAAACACAGCAGAGAAACAATTACCCTATCCTTCACCAATAACCAACCTAAAGTTTTATGCATTTTCATAATATTAACTCTTCTATTGCAGTGTAAAATGAGTCGCGCTGCTCTATTCTGGACTAACTGTAATTTATCTAAGTCTTTACTTGATGCACTTGACCATATTATTGGACAGTAATCTAGATAAGAAAGAACAATTGCCTGAACAATTTGAGAAATACAGTACTGTGGTAAAAATTCAACACATCTCTTAATAATTGATAAACCTCTCCCCATAACTATTACCATTTTATCAATCTGTTTTGACCACTTTAACCTACTATCAAGAAGAACTCCAAGAAGCTTAATTTCCTCTACCTGTTCAATAGGCACACTCATTACAGACAAATTTAACTGTGGTTTACATTTAAATTGAAAGTTTGATCCAAACACAATACTTTTGGTTTTTGTTAAATTTAAAACCATCTTATTATTCTGTACCCACTTTACCACTAATTGTAACTCCTCATCTAAATCAGCAGATAATTTTTCTATCGATGCCGCTGGTAAATATAATGTTGTATCATCTGCGTACATAACTGCCCTTGCTTGCTTTAAAACCAGAGGAAGATCATTGGTAAAAATAGAAAATAACAATGGTCCTAAACAACTTCCTTGAGGCACACCACATTGCAACTCTTTCACCTCCGAATAACTTACATTATAGAATACACATTGCCTCCTACTAGTCAGATAACTTTTAAACCAACGCACAGTTTGAGAAGTAAATTTATAACACCTTAATTTTTCAAGCAATAATTCATGATCAAGTACATCAAAAGCAGAGCTAAAATCCAGCAAAACTGTTCCTACTAAATTACTCTCATCAAGCTGTACTAAACAATCATCAATTATTTGTGTTAATGCTGTTCCTGTTGAATGGCCTATTCGATATGCATGCTGAAAGTCAGAGAATAAATTGTTTTCTTTAAAAAATAATTGAATTTGTTCACACACTATCGTTTCAAAGACTTTACTAAGAACTGGCAATAAACTTATTGGTCGACTATTAGCCCCACTAAAACTCAGTGCTCCATTTTTCTGTAAAGGAACTACCTTTGCTTCTTTCCAAGCTACAGGGAAAATTCCTTCTTTAATACTCACATTGAAAATATGACAGACTGGTTCCGCCAAACAACTGGCCACTAATTTTACAAGGCGACCATCTAAGTTATCCCTTCCTGATGGTTTATCTATATTTATCATTAATAATTTTTGCTCCACTTGTTGTACATTTACTTGCTTCAATTCAAAAGATAGAGCTGAGTTATCACTTACTATTTTTGCAATTTGCTTTTCACTTGATATAATATTATCAGTTACCATTTTTTCTCTAAGCTTGTTCACTTTATTTATAAAAAAATCATTAAAATAATTAGCAATTTCATTTGATTTAGTTAAAAATAAATCACCTGTCTCAATAAAAAAAGGAGTTTGACCTGATTTCCTACCCATTATTTCATTAATAATATTCCACAATTTTTTTCCATCATATTTATTTTCACTTACTTTTACTTTATAAAATGTCCTTTTCTTTTTCCTATTAATCTTAGTTACTTTATTACGCAATTTACAATAGACTTCCCAATCCAGTTTATTCCCAGTTCTATTTGCTATACCTTTTGCCTCATCTCTTTCTGCCATTATGTTCTTCAGTTCATTATCAATCCACGGTGCCCTAACATTCTTCACTGTGTGTTTTTTCATAGGTGCATGTTTATCCACCAAAGAATAAAATAATCTTTCAAAAGCTGTTAATGCATCATCAGGATGATCTTCCTTGTAAACATCAGCCCAACATATGTTATTTACATCATTGCAAAATAAGTCCTGACAAAATTTTCTATATGATCTTTTATAAATAACTTTTGGTCTTCCTTTAGGGACCTTTGTTTTTCTTGCAATCGCTATGATATTATGATCACTACACCCAATCGGAACAGATACACTCTTAGAACACATTTCCACAGCATTTGTATAAATATGGTCAATACAAGTAAAAGTTCTCTTACCAAGACTATTTACAAGAATTCTTGTTGGTTGATCAATAACTTGTGTTAAATTACATGCATTAGTTACATTCACCACTTTAGTTTTTAGGGAACAGTCCTGAGACATCCAATTAATATTTAAATCACCCATCAAGTAAATTTCATTTCCAGTATCACATACATTGTCAATCATATCACACAATTCACTTAAATAACAACTATTTGCACACGGTGGTCTATAACAACAACCAACAAGTAATGATTTAACAAATGGTAACTGTACTTGTAGCCACAGAACCTCTACTTCTATAGGCATTAAATCTTGCCTTATCTTTACTGGAATATGACTTTGAGTGTATATGGCAACCCCTCCACCATATTTATTTCTATCTTTCCTATAGACATTATAACCATTTATATTTACTATATAATCTGAAAATGCTTGATCAAGATGTGTCTCAGTTACTGCTAAAACATGAATATTATTAGTAATCAAAACATCAGATATTTCATCAAGTTTATTCCGAAGACTACAGATATTAATATGAGCTAATTTTAATCCTTTCTTTGGTAACTTAATTGATACTGACATGATTCATAGAAATAAATTTTCAATCTCATTCTTATTTTCATTAAATTTCCTCAAGCTAATTTAAGAAAACCACAGATCTATTACGCTAACCTAAGGAAGCCATAGATCTACTTCGACTTTGAGGTCTTCTTTGATTTCCTATTGCTATCTTTTGTAATTTGTGATGCTGGGAATGTGATTAATTTATCATAACGCAAATACGCTATTTCTCCTCTCTCTCTTGCAGCTCTTAATTCTGGCATAAGCTCCTTCCTCCTTAATCGCACATTTTCTGGAAAATCTTCATTCAAGTATATGTTTGATCCTTTGAGATATTTTGCTCTCTCCAGCACTGCTTCTTTGTCTTTATACTTAAGAAATTTAACCACAACAGGCCGCGGTCGACTAGAATTCCCGTTTCTCATCCTTCCTATTCTGTGTGCTGAATGTATCAGTACTATTTATATATGCAAAAAACTTCCTTCTGCCAGCAGGTGGTGATATGAACATAACTGAATATTGGCATGTTGACAAGTCATGTCTTCAGGACTTTTATAAAACACGTGAGGTTTGGAGCAAATCCGACATTGTATGCCTGAATTATTACAAATTTGTGTTCAATGGCGACACGATAGCTATATTTCCATCCAAAAATGCTAATCAAATTTATGCGCAAAACAGGAATCGCATAAAAGATAAAGCAGCGTTTCCATCCAAGGAGTCAAAGAGAACAAAATCATGACTTCCTGATTATCTGGCGGCAAATATCAACAGTAACAACTGAATTTACCGCGGTAGGAGAAGCTGCGTCAATCTTTTCTTTATTTAATAAATGACTTGCGCCTCATAAGACAATGCCGACACGCAACGAACGCCTGGTGTTTGAAGCCATGAGACACAGAGCTCAGGCGCTCTTGACAGTTCTGGAGGTCATTAATAATATAATAACAACAATACTGAGATGGTTAAGGCGTTTTAGAATGGCCAAAACAACATTTCAGATGTTTACAATGTGTTCGCTCGGCTGGTCCATTCACACACATTTTTATTATCACATGATCTTTTATAACAAAACCACATGACCTTTTTAATGCACATACTGGAATTTGTTTGATAAAAGTGTTTCCTTCGTAGTTTGTGCGCATCTTTTCTTTTTGAATAAAAAGTTTATCCTCATCAGTTATGCGCACGTTTTTTATGTTCATTTTCAAAATGTATGCGCATCTTGGTGTTTCGTTTCCATCAACCGATTTTAGGTGGATGAAAACGTAGCTATTGAAATTTGTTAAAAGCCTTCAACGAAAAAAAAAAAAATCTTTGCAACTAAACATAATAAAAGTCTTTAGATTAGACCAACCAAATAAAATAAGAGATATTTATTTTCGGCTTTTTGCGATTATTATTAAATGATAGTATGCAGACAGAAAGCAATTTAGAGAAAGAGGGAGGGGGATGGAATTAAGGAATGTCAACAAGCCAGGATTACCAAAGCACAATGTGTTGGCGCACTGACCACGATGCTATTGCCGCCAACACCAAATATGATGTTGATCTGATTAAATCGCTAGGATGATTTTTTTTTTCAGTATAAAAGAAGACATTTCCTGTCCCCAAGAGGTGGCACCATAACTTAAACTGAATACTGTACTGTAGACTCTTATCCAACATGTGAAACTTGAGGCAAATCATATATTGTACACCCAAGTTTTACTAGCTTTCTTTATAACGGCAAAACATAAAAATTGGTAGACCACCACAGACACAGACACCCTAACGCTTCAACAAGATCTTTGTAATTAGACATGGCAAAGAAATTAAGATTAACCAAATTAGGTGTTGATCTAATTAAATCTCATTCGGGAGTTTGTTAAAATACAATAGAAAATGGCAAAAACAACATCTACAAAGAACATTCAAAGTAATTCACTTCCTGTTGGATTTTTGCACCAGCAGACGTTTTGTTGGCACTGGGATGTTCCAAGTATTTTAAAAATGTTGTATGTGTATGTGACATGTACCATGAGGGGCAGTTCTTTGAAAATATAAACATAAGTGGTAATATCAAGCCATCTTGCCACAAAACTCAAATCTATATATTATAAAATGCACATTTTTGGCACTTTCTTTGCAAAGATTTGTGAGTTTCAAGCCCTCAAAAATGTGATTCAGTTTGGGGAAGAAACACAATTTTTAAGAAGATTTTTTTGGTTTGTGCTAAATAAAAACCTTAACCTTATGATGTGTAGACAGATCTACTGGTTCAAACCTTGAGGCAGTTGTATCCAATGATAGATATGAAAGCAATGACGGTGTGCAAAATGGCCAGGAAGGACAGAGTGGGCTGCATGTATCCCGTGCTTTCTTCCAGAAAATAATACACAGGTCCTTCTTCATCCTCATCATCACCTCCATCCTCTCCACCAGAGCCCTCGAAATCCTCCGCAGAGCCTTCAAACAGCCCAGAGCCTTCAAAGATACCAGAACCTTCAAATTCATCGGAACTGGGGGGAGTATCAGATACCTAGAGAAATAAAGATGGAAAAAAGAATTACATATTTCTGGAAACGTTGCATATGAATATGAAATGTATGCATATGTATGCATATGAAAGCAGAATTATTGTGAGGCATGACATTTTTAATTATTTAAACTACATGAAAGAAAAAAAAAAGTCAAAATTGAAAAAAAGAAAAACGAAATTTACCTTGTAGAAGAGAAGAATGAAGTTCAAGGCAAAGGCAAGGAACAGAGCCAGGAAACGAATGTTGTAGAAGTTACGAGATAAGCAGTTCTGTTGATGGAAATAGAGATTGACAAAGTTTTAAGTTCTGTTTATTTCTGGTGTTAAGATGCACTTTTTCCAAACTGATAGGGTGTGAAACATTAAGTTGTTCACCTTCCAGTAGAAACTGCATTCAATTTGATTGCTTTTGTAGTGTAAACACTTACAAAGTGGAATGCTTTTAAACAGCCACAAAAGACACCTATACTCATTAGCTACTAATATTTGACCAGTCCTGATTCTAAATCAAATCTACAGCCTTCATTGCAGTTTTATAGATAACTGAGCAGAAATGAATGGTGCTGCATTCTGCATCATTTTCAGTCATCATTTTGAGATATATCCTTGAGTTAAATTAGGAAAGTGGCTGAAAGTGGCCAAAGAAATTAGGTGTAAACAATGTGCCTCCTCGTCTACTTTTAACTGATCAAAAAACATCTGAATAGGTGTATAAAGTAAGTAAATGTCTTTTATTTAGGAGTAAAATATCAGTTAAGGGCTTTGCTGACAGGGCGGAACATAAAGTAGCTCCTCCCTCTTTTAAAAAACAGCCAATAGAGTCTTGTTTTTGTTTTTTTTAAATCACAGCTCTGCCAGTCGGAGTGGTTGAGCTTAAGCACAGCAAATAAAAAACAAACCAGAAAACCCTTGAATGAGACAGGGCATCTCAAATATTAGAGAACATTAAATTTGGTCAGAGGATTTGATGATATGAGATGACATCAAAAAAATTGTTGAGTCATTTAGGCAAGAAGTGACAAACTGCAAGCTTTGAATGTTTATATCTTTTAAATGTGAATATTGTTAATGCTTTGGAGCCCATGAGTTATAGATATCTTTAATACTAACATACTGATACTAATATCTACATTCACAGGGATTAAGAAGAAAACTGCATCTTTATCATACCATGAATTTATTTCTTTGCACATCCAGCTCATTCCAGAGCTCAAATCCTGCACCCTTGACTGATTTCTTCTCCTTCTTGGCTTTGGTGGCTCTCTGAGGTTTCGGTTCTTCTGGTATCGGCTCAGGCTTGACCTCCACTTCCTTCTCAGCCTTCTCACCATTCTCAATGCTGTGGCACAAAGAAGGTGGTCATAAAAAAAAGATTAAAACGTTTTCGGTAACACTTTAGAATAACTATCTATTTTAACTAGTTAATAGATAATTAATAAACTCTTAATTAATGGGTTATAAATGACTTGTTAAATAAAAGTGAATAGTTTGTTAATTATTTATAACTGTGCCTTATAGACAGCCAAAAGATAACTTACAAGCTGTTAGTAAACATTTATAAATGACGTGTTAACTGCATTTGAATGATTTATAGCTATACCTAATAAATTAGTAATTGCTCATGAACAAGCTGTTAGTAAATTACTTACTAAAGACCTGGTAAGTATCAGTTAATAGTTTATATACGTTATTGGGTGGATGTTATTCTAAAGTTGCAATTATTCTTCATTTATTTACTGTTAGTAAATGAGGAATAGTTGCAACTTTAGAATAACGTCCCAATAACACACATAAGCTAATAACTAACACTTAACTAATATATTAACTCATACTTTACAGATTAGTTGTTCATAGTTCGTTTACCACCTACTAATACCAGTGAAACTTTGTAGAACTTTTCTAATAAAGGATTTTTTTATTTATTTTGTTTTTATGTTTAACCTCATGGGTTTGTATTCTGTTGTATACTGCTGTTCTGCCATGTGATGGCTCAGTATGTGTGTTTCTATACATTAAACACAACGTTCAACATTTCATCTGTGGAGTTTCTTTGGTAAAATACAGCACACAGAAAAGCCTATGAGTGGAACAAGGTTAAGGTACAAAAATGTTATATTTTAAATATTTAAATATTAAAAAATAATTTAAATATTTATATATTTAAATAATTTCTGTAGCTTGAACTTGTTCAATTCATTTGCTGTTCTACAAAGTTTCACTGGTGTTATTAGATGGTTAACAAACTATGTACAACTGATCTGTAAAGTGTGAGTTAATATAGCCTTTGCTTTCTAAAGCTGTCGTTAATCAAATGCGTTTTTGAATTAACTTTTTACTTGAGCCTATTTTTGCTTGGCTTCGCAGCTGACTGCGGACGCACGCAAGAGCGAGAGAAACATTCAATAATTCATTCTTTAATCTAAAAGAATCTTTGCTAAAAACTCAGAACAAAATGACTGATCTAAACTGGCTGCAAAATATATGTACACCATTAGTAATGGTCAATTAATGCATCTGCCTTATTTAAATGATCTACATGTTTTAACCTTGTAAATATTATAATTTTGAGATATTGTCCATTTTTATTCCTTTTTTCTGTCATTTATTTCTCATTTGCTGCATATTTTATTAATTTAATGATGTCATTAGCCTATATTACATAGGATATTTTATATAGATATTATGCATTCAGGCTTGCTTTGAACTTGAGAGAGAAAGAGAGGGAGAGAAAGTAAGAGAAATAGTGGATGTGTTTTTTATTTCACCTGTCATTTTTTTACTTTAATATTAAAAAGACAGTTAATAATTATAATAATAATAATAATAAATAAAATTATTGTTAAAAATTCAATTGTTTTGTTTGTTGCCTATAGTTAACTATTTATGTGACGTGGGTAAATGTGTTTCAATCTGTCTACCACCGCAAGCATATTTCATACCTGTGGGAAGCACTGCAAATACATGGACAATTTCCAACTGAAAATCATTTAAGCAGACAAACTGAGAAACATTCTTATTAAATTTAAATTTTATTTACAAGTTTACTTCTATAGCGCTTTTACAATGTGCATTGTGTCAAAGCAGCTTAACATACAAGTTCTAGTAAATTGAAACTGTGTCAGTCCAGTTTTCAGAGTTCAGTTCAGTTCAGTTTAGTTCAGTTCAGTTCAGTTCAGTTCAGTTCAGTTCAGTGTGGTTTAAATTTCACTGCTGAAAGTCCAAACACTGAAAAGCAAATCAAGCATCATATGGTGCAAAAAAAAGAATAACGATAATAACATGTTGTTTTTTATTAGCAATAATACTTAAAGTATTATTCAAATAATTCAACTATTGCTGACCCTAACTTTCAAAGGGTTTAAAAAATTGGATTTGGGTTTCACAAAAAATTTTTTTTTAGTCTTTTGCCATAAAATATATCAATACTAATTATTATATTTTTCAGCGTTCCAAGCTGTATGCAAAGCCACACCCTATTGTGTAGAGCTCAGTGCGTTTGTGGTATTGGTATTCAATGGTTGTGGTAGTGGGTTTAGTAGAATTTTTCATTGATATTAACGTTGAATTACAACCATTTTAACAATCCACGGTGCAAGACCGAGATTGTTGACATTGCAAGACCAAGACTGCCACCACAAACTGCTAAACTTAAGAAAAAAAGCACAACAATGGGAGAAATCAGGAAAAATCACTTAAATGACCCTTTTTCCTGAAAGTCAACAAAGTGCTGGAACACTGCCGTGGTGAGTCATGTTACACTGGAATTGTATTATTCAGGGGTTTTCCTGATTTAAGATTAGTTTAGCCCCCTTCTGTCCAGTTTTGGGCGGTGTAAGCTCATGGTAGACCTAAAATTGACAAACCTTAAAGAATTAGTTCACCCAAAAAGTTTAATATTGTTATTAATTATTCTCTCTTATGTAGTTTAAATCCCCTGGGACTTTCGTTAATCTTCTGGACACAAATTAAGATATTTTAATTAATTTTATTTTAGAATTCGAGATGTAATTCTCCATGGTTCATAGACAGACATGCACTGTAAAAACGCCAACTTTCAAAAAGTCCTCTGAACAAAGATTAATAAGTTAACTGAATTTAAATATTTTCATTTGAAATGCTGACAAATAATAGTTAGTTTGTTCAACAAATATGGTGCTTCAATGTGAAAAACTTAAAATATTTCGTTGAACTAATACAAAATTCTTAGTTTTGCGTTGATGCGTGCCCTTCTTGTTGGCGCATGCGCCTTATAAGCTTCTGGCGCATGCGCAATTTACTTCCATAGCTCACTGCAGGGGGTACCTGTCACGTGCGCGCGACAAAACGAACCATCTTTCTTTCTGCGGAGCTACGTGTCAATCGATTTCATAATCGATTGTATATAATTGTATACATGTTTTTGTGCGATGTGCTACCCATCTGACTGCCCGATCTATTTTACCAGTGTATTAATGATGTGAGAGACCGTGATAGAGCGGTTAAGAGTAGTGGTGGGCAAAGCGAGGCTTCGTGAAACACTGAAACAGTCGAAGCAAATGTGTCGAAGCTTCGAAACCTCACTCTGCAGTGACATTTTTTATATATATTGCACTGAAACAGCTTCAGCAAAGAAGACAGTGTAGTACAGTGGTTAAGGTGTCAGACATCCATGCAGGAGTAGTAGGTTTCGAAGCCAGTCAGTAGCAGTTGTTTTAAAATGCTTTAATACCAGTTGGTAATGCTTTGCTCTTGTATCGTTTTGTTTCAACATTGGTCTGATATCCGAATAAACAATTTGTGAATAAATATGTCTTGTTTTTGTCTTAAAACAGGGTTGTTGCTAGATCAAAAACGGTGGCCTGAAGTTATCAAGAATTATTTATATTATTCATTAAATTTCCCATTTATTGTATTTTATTAATGTCTACCCAAACCCTAAACCCAACCATACTGTAAAAATATTTATTATTGTTTTACAGTGTTACAAAAATGATGCTAAATTGATGGCGTAACTGTAGCTGTATCCTATTTAGGCTACACAAAACAGAAACATGATTAAAATACATAAAACCATGATTTCGAAGTCGGGATTCGAACCCAAAACATCATGCTAAGCATAGAATCAATAAGCAAACCCACAGTGCTCTAAGCCATTTGAGACAGGGATAATTTAGAGACCTTGGCAGTCAAATTAGGATTCACCAGGTCTCGAAACGTTTCTAAGCTGATCGATGCTTTGAATCGCTTTAGTCACGTGACTAGGTGTTTCGAAACACTTTAGTCACGTGACTTGGGTGCTTCGGATCATGCTTCGGTGCAGTGATTCGAAACACTTGCGCTTCGGGATCTCGACACTGTGTCAAAACATCAGTTTCACGTCAGCCATCCCTAGTTAAGAGCAGGCCAACGACGTTTCTGCTAAATCATAGGTATGTATGTCTTTTTTGTTGTCATCTAACGTTATATTATTTGATATGTTGGCTTTGATGTGCGCGTGTATCCTAATACGGAACTATTTGTTATAATTTAGCCGTGAGTTACTTGTTTCGTTCACTTGGTTTTGGCTATTTACATCAATAAAAGTTTAGAGTGAATGTATTTGAAACAAATAGCGATTTCAATCGAGTCATTTGCTTTAATAACTCACGATTAATACAATGAGTATCATATAACATACCAGGTCAGGTATCCAAGTCAAATATAACATAATGTCCTGTTTATCTAGATTGCTGTCAGCATTGCGCACATCATAACCTTTTTTTCCCTTCGAACCAGAGCCAGTGGAACAAACGGTGACGTGTTTAACTGTGTAATTTGTGTGAAAATCGTGTGATTTTCATGTAATTCATTGCTTGATTTGTTAGCTCGACTAAATGTCTATCATATTCAGACCAACTTGCTTTAACAGTCAGCTAGCTTTTATTTACATAAAAAATATAAAGGGCTAAATATATATTTTTCTTTCTTTTTGCTCAAAAGGACTGAAATATTGACAATGACATAATTCAATGCAAGATTTCCTTGAGGAGGTGAGACTTGTTATCATCAGTGAAATTTGACGGTCATTCACCAGCAGATGCAAGAAACCTTTTCTCTTTGCCCAAAAGAAGTTGTTGAGATTTAGCCAGGAAGAAATTAGAGAGAGATAACCTGGACTTTAAGGAAGAGGTAAGTCACTATATTGCAATTGCTTTGGTTTCATTCAAGGTAGTAATGATAATGCTAAAAATAACAAACAACATTATTATTATAGGTAATTCAAAATACGTCTGTATTCAGCATTTGAACATTTAAATATTTACATTTACATATATATATATATATATATATATATATATATATATATATATATATATATAT